ATCATGAAAAATATTTCCTTTATTTTTTGTATTTTTATTTTATTTTTCATTTTTATTTTTTAGCATAAAAATAATTTATAAATAAATAGAACTTTATTTTCTTAAATAAATAACAAATACATTTAAAAATATCATACATTTTTATTTTATTATTTTTCACACATAAAATATTATTTTCATACATATTTTATTTTTTTTAATATTTGTACATAATATTGTTCTTATTTTTCTTGAACAAAAAATGAATAAAATAAATAATAGAAAACATAATTTTCTTTTAAACCAAAAAATTAGGGTTTTCCCTTTCAAAAATAATATTATTATTTTTCTTATTTTTAGGACTTAAATAATTTTATTTTTACATATATAAAATAAATACAAAAAACATTTTGCATCCATACATTTTATTGCATATTTAAATAATTATTTATTTATATATTGTACTATAAATTCAATTGGGTTGTAATAGTGAATTAGAGTTTTATTTTGTGCAAATATCCCCCATTAAAAACTTGTATCCCCCCTCCCATAATATTGTTGTAATAGCTTAGATTTACTTTACGCAATTTATCGCATTATATACATGTTTAGTAAATTAGGGTTTGTATGATAAGACAAAAATCAAATAAATAGCAAGACCTAATACAAGACAAAAAGCATGAAAAATGATAACACATTGCACACAAGCACCTCTAGGGTTTCACCCACTTGGTTGCCTAAACAAAATGGCCATGGTATGCATGCTAGGTATCTTGGTAAAACAATACAAACAAATAAGATCATAGTCCCTCGATGACGCTATCAAAAAGGTTGCCTAAAAAAATGATCTTAGTCCCTCAAAATGCTAAAGATACTTGGAAACATTGCTATCATGGTCATACAATGACCCACGCCCGTCCCGTTTAACATTCAAAGATAAGGTTGTTTACCAAAGCAATGGTAAATCAACAATGTCAAAGGAATAAAAATGTACAAAAAACACTTTTGAGTAGGTAGATAGCTTCTAGTTACTTGATCAATTTGCAAACAATCCTTGCTATTTTCAAACAAACACACACACATTTCAAAACATTTTCCAAACAACTTTCAAAACATTGAAACATTTTTCAAAAGACAAACATCTTTATATACATTCTTACAAACAAGAATCATTACAAAGATTGCCTAAACGATGACCTCTTTTCAAAATACTTTCAAAACATACAAATCACCATTTCAAACAATTGCAAAAGCAAAGCAAGTGATCTAAACAAGTAACTAAGAGCCCATGGAAAACCACAGATGAAAAGGGTGCTAGCACCTTCCCTTTTCATAATCTATCCCCTGAACCCAAAAACAATCTCAAAGTTCTTTCCTGTGCTTTTTTACCTTTCCTTTTGGATAAAATAAAAGTCGGTGGCGACTCTTACTAACCGCAACATTTGCGAACAAAAACGCAAAACCTCAAGTCAGTTCTCCCACTGTATCACATTGTGCAATGAGTACGAATTATATGTGAATAATTCATGAGTATTTGTGTATATATGCAAATGTGTGGTAATTCAAGTGTGATGAATAATTGAAGATATGAAGGGATGTTAAGATTAGAGAATAATATTAATTGCATATGGTTGTTATAATTGCACATGCAACATTTGTGTCAAGAGACAATGCTTGTTAGTTCCGTGGGAGCTAGTGACTTGTCCCAAATCTAGAGAGGGGTTTGAAAGCTTAGAGAACGAGTTTTTTGTGTGTTATTGGTCTAGAGGACGGACCCAATTTAAAGTAAAAACCGAATAAAAATAACAGAGATTGATACCATATGCATGAGTATTGGCTTGGAGTCTTGAATCGAGTCACATTGTGTTATTGTCATAATATAAAATTATGTGCACTATGTGAAATTTGTTGTGTTTGTGAAATTGTGAAGATTATGAGAATGTAGGTGATGTGATGTTTATAAAACAATTGAAGTATGAGAATATTTATTTGTATGCATGTATGTTATACATTGTGTATTATTATATGATTTCGATAATTATGTGAATTCTCACCATTCCGTTGGAATGATGTTTTATATGACATCACTCAAGTACTGAAGATTGGAGTTGCTTTGGCAAGAGTGAAGCTGAAGAGACTATTTTTATTTCATTTTCGTATTTGTGGATTTTGAGTCATGCTCTGGTCATGTAACACTAGGGAAACATTTGATTCATGTTTTTAAGAGTTACTTTATATACTCTATTTTATTTTATTTTGAATATTTTGAGTTATGTGGTGATTTGACTCTTATGCCTAAGATATTTCAATAGAGGGATTTAATTATGAGATTCGTTAATTGTTTGAATGAGAATTGTTGCTTCATGCTATATGAAATTGAATGAGAAACATGAATTTAAATTAGTGTTAATTGAGCATGATGGGAGCTTGTTATGCATGGAGTATGTATGACACCCTTGAATTGATATACATGTTATATTACTCTGATTTATATCGTATTTCTGTGGGGTCTTAGAAGGGTGTTACATTAGTGGTATCAGAGTATAGTCGGTCAGTTGACCAAGTTGTTAATGTGTTTATTCTCTTTTATGTTCAATATGTGTATGTGACACTATCAGTATTGTTTGATCTAACGAGAATTTATTGGTTGAAATTCCTAGAACAATGGTTAGAGGAAAGGAATGATGACGTGATTGCTGAAGCTTTGGAAATGTTGGCTGGAGCAATTAGACAGCAGTCACACGTCAATGTGAATGTTGGGAACAACAGTGATGATGAGTTTCATGCTTTAGGGAAGTTTCAGAGAAATAATCTACCAATTTAGCACTCATATGCTTGAGAAGGAAGTTGAGGACTGGTAGAATAATAATAGTTATAGGTTTGAAGAAGAGGAAACTGAGGTTACTTGGGATGTTTTCAAAGAAGCATTTTTGGAGGAGTATTTCCCATAAGATGTGTGTAGGAAGAAGGAAATTGAGTTCCTTGAGCTGAAGCAGAGTAATTCAACTGTGGCAGAATATGCTGTAAGATTTGAAGAGCTGGTTAAATTTTGTCCTCGTTATAAATTTACTAGTGCTAAGAGATCCAAATGTCTTAAGTTTGTGAATAGTTTGAGGCCTATAATCAAGTAAGCCATGTGTTACCAGCAAATTACATGATTTTCTGAGTTGGTTAACATGAGTAGGATCTATGATGAAGATAGTAGAGCTCGTTCTTCTCACTATAAGAATTTGAATGAGAAGAAGTGAAAAGGTCAATTCAGAGGAAAATTGTATGTGACTCATGCTGATAAGGGGAAACAAAAAGCTGGTTATGGTAAGAAGCTGAGTGGGGGAGGAGATCCTGCTCCGGTTAAGTGTTATATTGTGGTGTTGAAGGAAATCATGCTCCAGAGTGCACAAGTGCTGAACTGAAATGTTTCAAGTGTGGTTGTCATACCTCAAATTTGTCCGCCTTAGTGCTACCGTCAAATTTATTTTCGAATTTGGGTGTTACAGATATAAAATTCTTTTGATTTAATTATATTAACATTCTGAGTTTTTTTAATAAAAATTTGCTTTCCAGTCTATTTGAAAATATAATAATTATTTGTATTTTTGTAAAAAATAGAAAACAATTGTTCGTTGTCATATACTTTCAATTGACTTTTTACTTTTGAATAAGTAACATAACACAATGGATAAGGAAGAAAGACCGACAAATAGAAGGTCACAAGTTCAAATCTCACTCGATGCACTTTGAATATTTTTGCTGTTACTAATTTTATTTTCATTTTCTAAACCACAAAAATCATATTTTTTATTATTAAATTATTATTTTCGTATTTATTTATTTATTATATTTTGAAAATATAATTTTTTATTAAAATATTTATTTTATTTTAAAAAAAAATAGTCAAAATAAGTTATAAATAGATAAAATTTAATTTGGGGCTTTTATTCACTTTGAGTTAGCTTTCTCTCTAAGTTTTTAACCTAATTTTACTCTATAAATAAAATTTATTGTTGTCCTAATTTTTCATCAAGAATTCATCCAGAAATATCCATGAATTCCACAATTTCACTCACACACAAACATCCATAATCTTTCACGATTTCAACCACTCAGAGACACTCTCATCCAATTTCTTTTCAAAGCTTTCTTTCAAAACTCTTTTATCCAATTTCTTTTCAAAGCTTTCTTTCAAAACTCTTTTTTTTAATTTATTTTAGTCAATAATTAAAACTTCGATAAGGCCTCTTTTTATTTTCAATTTTATACTTTTTTTTCTTCTTAATTTTAATTTATTTTATTGTTTACACCGATGATGATGATTCTGATGGTGATTATGTTTTTTCCAAAAAAATATTATCATTTTAACAAATTGCATAGGCTAATTTTTCCACACTCATTCTTTATAATTCACTCACGAATCACCAACTTTTCTTGCATATTTACAGCTTAGTACATAATTTCATACTTTATCCACAAAATAGCATGAGAATTCTTGTATTTTAGGGTCAATTTCTTACCATTAAAAAACTCTCATTTTTGGGTCTTTTAGTACATTCGATTACATACCAATTTCCAAATCTTTTTCAATCACAAACCTGTAACTTGTTTTACTATTTTCTTTATAGCTAAGAATTACAGAAAACCGAAAAAAAACAAATATTTTTCTTACTTGCATCAAATTAATATTTGAATACTATGATGAAAAAAGTGTCAAAGGTGCATCAATGAGATCAGAGGAACAAAATGACATCAATTGTAGCTTGTTTTCATTCGTTCGTTAGTTTTGTTTCTCACTATAAACTTTTCTGTTAGATGATAAGAGAATGAAACAAATGTTTTCTATTCACGCACATCTACACAGACACTTGAAGACAAATTGGCATGCATAAAACTCGTACTAATTTCCTATTAATTCACAACCTTAATCCATTACAACACCACCATGAACACCGTTAATCAGCCGCAAAGAAATCCAAAGCAGAAAAAGGAGAACCGAGGATCAAGACAGGAACGCAAGGCTCTCGTTCATGCTTCTCACTGCAACAACACCAACCGGCAACTGCAAGCCACCACCAACATCACGGAAAACAATCAAATCCCGCCGCCAAACAGCCAGACACCGTCGATTCCATGATCGCGCCTCCCCTGCTCCAGTCGGACGACGACGAAGCCTCCGCACACAGTCCTCGTCGGTGCATATCCCATCCGCCGCCGATAACCAAAGATCCACCTTCTCAACACCTTCCAACCATCTAATGAAAACTAATAATGGCGACTCTTGATGTAAAAATCAGTCGCTACAGTGGCAAGCCAAGTCACAAGGCTTTTGAGTGCAAGAGTGGTGCAGAGGTGACTTGCTACAATTATGGTGAGCAAGGGCACATTAGTACCAAGTGTGATAAACCTAAGAAGGAGAAACCTAGGGGGAAGTGTTTGCTATATCAGGTTCTGAGACGACTATTGAAGAGAGGTTAATCAGAGGTACATGCTTCATTAATGGTACACCTTTGATTACTATAATTGATACGGGGGAGACACATTCTTTTGTTGCTTTGGATTGCGTTAATAAACTAAATCTCAAGTTATCTAGTATGAGTGGAAGTATAGTTATTGATACTCCTACTATGGGTTCAAGGACTACTTCATATGTGTGTTCGAATTGTCTGTTGAGTATTTTTGGTAGAGATTTTGGAGTTGACTTAGTGTGTCTTCCATTAGATCAACTTGATGTTATCCTTGGGATGAGCTGGTTGGAGGTAAACCATGTTTATATCAACTGTTTTTCTAAGAAAATTATTTTTCTTGAACCTAAGAAGGAACGAGACTTGTTTATGTTTGCTAAGCAAGTGAATGAGCCAGTGCAGGATGGCGCTGGGATGTTTATGTTGATGGCAACTTTGGATATTAGTGGAAAAAGAGAGATTGGTGATTTAACAGTCATTCGTAATTTTCCAGAGGTATTTCCTAAGGATATAAGTGATTTATTGCCGAAGCGTGAAGTGGAGTTTGTGATTGACTTAGTTCCATACTCTAGTCCGGTATCGGTGACTCCATATCGGATGTCAGCATCGGAATTGAAAAAATTAAGGACTCAACTTGAAGATCTACTTGAGAAGAGATTTATTCGTCTGAGTGTGTCACCGTGGGGTGCACCGATCTTATTGGTTAAGAAGAAAGAAGGTTCTCTGAGACTTTATGTGGACTATACACAATTGAACAAGGTGACTATCAAGAATAAGTATCCACTTCTAAGGATTGATGACTTAATGGATCAGTGGGTTAGTGCAAGTGTGTTCAGTAAGATAGATTTGAGATCTGGCTATCATCATATTCATGTGAAGGTTGAAGATATTCAGAAAACTGCTTTTAGAACGAGGTATGGTCATTTTGAGTAATCTGTGATGCTGTTCGGTGTGACGAATACACCAGGTGTATTCATGGAGTATATGAACAGGATTTTCCATCTGTATTTGGAAAAAAATTTGGTTGTTTTCATTGATGATATTTTGATATATTCGAAGAGTGGAGAAGATTATGTTGAGCATCTGAATATTGATTTAACAACATTGAAGGAGAGCAGTTGTATGCTAAACTTTATAAGTGTGAGTTTTGGTTGGAGGAAGTGAGTTTCCTTGGCCATGTGATTTTGAGTGGAGGTATTACGGTTGATTCATCGAAGATTGAAGCTGTGTCTCAATGGGAAGCACTGAAATCTGATGCCGAGATTAGAAGTTTTATTGGACTAGAAAGCTATTATCGGAAACTCATTGAAGGATTTGCCAAGTTAGATTTTGATTTTGTCTCCATGTTTTGTTTAGCATGACTTGGAGTTGGATACTGTTGTGTTTGCTAAGTTAGATTTTGATTTTGTCTCCATGTTTTGTCTAGCATGACTTGGAGTTGGATACTGTTGTGTTTGCCAAGTTAGATTTTGATTTTGTCTCCATGTTTTGTCTCCATGTTTTGGGCTAGCAAGCTATTTCGGATATCCAACAGTATCCATGTTTTGATTTTTGATAGCAAGCTATCATTCATTGTATATTGTGATGCTTCGTTGATGGGATTGGAAGGAATATTAATGAAAAATCGACAAGTTGTAGCTTATGCTTCAAGACAACTTAAAGTGCATGAGAGGAATTATCTGACGCATGACTTGGAGTTGGATACTGTTGTGTTTGCTTTGAAGAAGTTTGTTTGTTCCCAGTCATGGGTACTCACGCCAAACAATTGTTACCACCCCTAATATTGATGTTTACTGATATTATCCTACCACCTATTTTCCCCAGTGGGTCGACATTACCTTTTTTATTATCTTCTCCGAGAGTGGATAGTTCACGGTTATTTGTTGATCACTGTTATCCTTTACTTTCTCTCCTAAATTTTTTTGAGTTGATGTTACTTTGTCTCCTCCTTAGGCTTTACACCAGTAGAGTTGAGTCATCTGTTCACCCGTGATTTATTTTCCTGGTCTAGTTTTCTTTTGATCTTTTATTTTCTGTCTCCCTAGTGGTGTCTTGTGTAACCATTGGATTTGTTTGTTTGCATGCACAATCATAAGCATTGCATGGCATCTTAGGACCATAAATATGGTTTATTTTATATTTAAGTATCTTCAATCGCGTCGACACAAAGATTTTAAGCTTCGTATCTCTGGATAGAAGACACTTAAATAAGGGCAGGTGTTGTACCCCAATTTTTGTCCCTAAGATCCCTCTATCATCTCATGTCAATTTAATCACAACAAGATCACACTAGGGTTTGGTTCTTCTCCCTATCTTTAGGTTTTCTCATGGGGAATCACCAAGCACCTTGACTTGTATATTGTGATCATCTATGTTTTGTATTGATTAACTTTTAACTAATAAATACAACGAATGTTTGTCCTAATTGATGATATTATAGGTGAAAGCATAACACATTCCATCAAGTTGATCTATAGGTTCATGAGTACATTTCCATGCCTTCTTCAACAAATCTTCATTGAGATTCAAGCCTCATAATTAAAGATATTTTGAATTAATATCATGATAAAGTCTATTATGATTCATCATGCCTCAAGTTGTCAAAGATAGTTCAAAAATATAAAGGTTGATTGAAGAAATTTGACCTAATTGGACAAGTTCTTAATTTCTTGGTCATAAGTGAAATTTCCCCTAAATTATTAATATTTGGAAGTGGTTATGGTTGCTATGGTTTCCCATTGTCATCCTCAACAACTTCTATTTACATGACAAAAGTATTTGTGCAAGAAAGTTTGTCAAAATTGAAAAGAGTTTCCAAAGCATTTTGTTGCTCCAGGAGCTAGGGTTTTGAACTTCTAAGGGCTATATATTTCTCATATTTTGGTATTTTAGAGTGATTCCAAAGACATGCTTCTCTTTAAAGGGTTATAAACAAATCACTTCAAAAGTTTCAAGAAAATTTTATGTGGAAGATGTCCAATGATTGAGAAAGATTACAGGTCCTCTAGATAGGCCATCAAATTCCCTTGTGTGACTTCAAAAGATCATACCTTGGTCAATTTTTATCTCCTTGAGCCCATTATTTTTCCACAATGATCTTAAAGGTGTGAAATTCAACTATTCTTTTATGTGCAAAGCTTGAAAATGGATGGAAGATGCCCTAAGGATGCAAAAGATTATAGGTCATCTCATGAACTTTTACCAACTTCACAAAGTCATAACTTTCTCAATTTTTGGAGTTTTTAAATGTTTCAAGTCTCGAAATGTCATTCAATAGATCTACTTCATTCCATCATTTTGGGTCAATAGAAAATTTTAAATGGAAGGTCATGTTTGGATGCAAGACATTATAGGTCATTTTTGAAGAAAAACTTAGAATTTTTCTAAGTACAAAAAGTCAATATTTTTTCCAACTTTGACTCATCGCAACTTTAAGCTCAAGTATCCATTTGATTCCATCATTTTCACATTGATAAGTTTATGATCTCATCTTTGCAAGGCATCAATAATCAAGTACTAAGGTTCCCTAAATCGTGCACACGATTGATTCAAAGGTGGTACTTTGAGATTGAAGTTTCCTCCAAAGTCAGAATTTGAAATTCATGATTTGGCCTCTAAACACAAAATTTCTGCGCATTTTTACTTCTAATCATGTTTAGCAATCTTCCAGAAGTGATTAGCACCTTGAAACGCAAGTTTTGGTTTCATTTTGAGCAAAATAAAAGTCACACTTTTCATGTTTTCAACTTCACACGATTTCCCTCCAAACTTCATCAATTCACACGCTTAAGCGTTCCATTAGCTTTGCTATAAATAGAGGGTCATACCTCATTCATTTTCTCAAGCTTGAACAGCCAGAATCACCTTGCCAAACTCTCTCATCAACCCACTTTTCTGCAAACTTGAATTCAGTTTATAACCTTCCTCAATCCATTTTCTTTGTCAATTTTTCATCCTTGAACTTCACTGAAGCTAACATAAGAAGAACCAAGCTCTAAGACTTCCTAAATCATGCTAGCCAAGTCAAGTTTCAAAGCTCTGAATTTGAACTTCAATAGGTAGATTCCTTCATCAATTCTCTCAAACTTTGGTACTGTAATGAAGCTCTCATCATTCTGATTCTAGTCACAACATTTGTTTTCAACTGGAAGTGAGTTTTGGCCATGAACTTTCAAATCCCTTTTTTAAATCTTTCCTTCTGAAACGACTGAGCTACACCTTACATAAACTTTTTACGAGGGTATCATTGGAATCGTCTTGAAGAGACGAAGCGAATGGTACCAGTCTCGAGCTCTAATTTTCCCATTTCATGAACCTATAAATCGCGTGGCCAGAGGTCTAAGACGACCTACATGTCCGTCTTTAACCAATGGGAATTTGCAGCGCATTTTTTTCAAATATGATTTAATAGTTGATCACATATTTTATTCATTAAGGACCATGATATGCACAACGCGTCTGATCCATTGGATTAGCTTACTAACGCGTTTTGACTCTCATCTAATGATCTATATTTTTTACTTTATTTTTTATTTCTAATTTTTTATATTTAATTATTTTAAACTTCAAAAAATCATAGAAAATTCATTTCTGACTTAAAAATCATGAAAAAATTCACAAAATTATTTTCAAATATTCCCTTTCTGATTTTTATTTTTTCATAATTTTATTTTCATATTTGGTGTTTTTCATGATTTTTTATTTGTTTTTGTTTATTTTTAATTGCTTTAAAATATTTTTTGACATTTTTAAATTCTGAAAAAATTCATCATAATTATTTCTCTTATTTCCGACCTTTTGAATTTTTTTTTAGAATTTTA